AGGGAAAGCAGTGGACATGTTGTTCCTTGACTTTAGCAAAGCTTTTGACACTGTTTCCCACAGTATTCTTGCCAGTAAGTTAAAGAAGTATGGGCTGGACGAATGGACTATAAGGTAGACATAAAGCTGGCTAGATTGTCGGGCTCAACAGGTAGTGATCAATGGCTCCATGTCTAGTTGGCAGCCGGTATCAAGTGGAGTGCCCCAAGGATCGGTCCTGGGGCCGGTTTTGTTCAATATCTTCATAAATGATCTGGAGGATGGTGTGGATTGCACCCTCAGCAAGTTTGCAGATGACACTAAACTGGGAGGAGAGGCAGATACGCTGGAGGGTAGGGATAGGATACAGAGGGACCTAGACAAATTGGAGGATTGGGCCAAAAGAAATCTGATGAGATTCAACGAGGACAAGTGCAGAATCCTGCACTTAGGATGGAAGAATCCAATGCACTGCTACAGACTAGGGACCAAATGGCTCAGCAGCAGTTCTGCAGAAAAGGACGTAGGGGTTACAGTGGACGAGAAGCTGGATATGAGTCAACAGTGTGCCCTTGTTGCCAAGAAGGCCAATGGCATTTTGGGCTGTATAAGTAGGGGCATTGCCAGCAGATCGAGGGACGTGATCGTTCCCCTCTATTCGACATTGGTGAGGCCTCATCTGGAGTACTGTATCCAGTTTTGGGCCCCACACTACAAGAAGGATGTGGAAAAATTGGAAAGAGACCAGCGGAGGGCAACAAAAATGATTAGGGGACTGGAACACATGAGTTATGAGGAGAGGCTGAGGGAACTGGGGATGTTTAGTCTATAGAAGAGAAGAATGAGGGGGGATTTGATAGCTGCTTTCAACTACCTGAAAGGGGGTTCCAAAGAGGATGGCTCTAGACTGTTCTCAGTGGTAGCAGATGACAGAACAAGGAGTAATGGTCTCAAGTTGCAGTGGGGGAGATTTAGGTTGGATATTAGGAAAAACTTTTTCATTAGGAGAGTGGTGAAACACTGGAATGCGTTACCTAGGGAGGTGGTGGAATCTCCTTCCTCAGAAGTTTTTAAGGTCAGACTTGACAAAGCCCTGGCTGGGATGATTTAATTGGGGATCGGTCCTGCTTTGAGCAGGGGGTTGGACTAGATGACCTCCTGAGGTCCCTTCCAACCCTGATATTCTATGATTCTATTTTTAGGTGCCCAGCTTAAGATACCTTAGAGGGAGGGACCTGATTCTCAGGAGAAGACACTCAGTACTTTCTGAGTATCAGGCTCCATTATAATGTCTTGAGTTGGCACCTACAGATCAGGATAGCAAAAATCACTTGACACTTTTGAAAGTCTGAAGCAAGGCAATGCTGGCAGAACAACTTACTACAAAGGAACATATGGACACAGCATAAAACTGGTTACCAGGGGAGTTCACAGCAGCTAAAAGTCTAAAAGAGGTCAGCATGTCCATAGATTTATTTCTGGATCAGGAGTGGAGTCTGGCGTCTGGTGACACAGCAAGAAGATGGGAGTACAATAAACTGAGAAAGGGCAGGCATGTTAGGCTAGACAGCCTTTTCTGGGTCCTAAGATGCCATGTTCTTAAAAGGAAGGTGCTGTCTCCAACAGACTCAGCCCTGAAGCTCCAAGATACAAATAAAGGGGAGGAAGCCTATTTCTAGTTTGCATGAGACCAAAGTCATGGTGCAAAAGGTCACCAAGGACAATTACTTTCTGTTTTCTGTTGTGAAAGGAGAACCTGCCAAGATGCAGAGGTTATGGGATGGCATTCTGCCACAGGTTAGAGCTCTGGGACCCTGCATGGGGAACAGTGCGGGGCTCACAAGTTACAAACTATCTCCATAGTCTAGAGCAAGCAGTGTTTCTCAACTTTTTGATACCAGGGACCGACTTGCTGCCTTCCTAAACTGTGTCAAGGAGATCTCATGGATGGTCATTGAGAAACACGGATCTAGAGAACAAAAAACATTGGTGACACTGTCTGCCTTTATCTGTGCTGTTGCCATTGAGAAGGAAACCACTAGAGGACGTTAGCACAGAATGTCCCCCTCCAAAGATGCCCTCATGCAGAGCCAGAAGCTCTGATGTGGAGATCACCCTTACTGGTGATAGACTTTGAGGTCAGAATTTTCAAAGCAATCTAAGTAACTTAGACACACAACTCCCACTGGATTTCAGTGAGATTTGGGTGCCTAACTGCTTTCATCTTCTTTGAAAATCCCCACCTAAATTAATAACCCTGAGCTTTCAAAAATGAATTGCATTACAGAGGTAGGCAATGACAACTGAAGCAATGAGCCATAAGGAGGCATCCACAAGCCACCGTGTGGGAAGGCATGTCCACGGTAACTTGAACAGGTTGAATAAATAGAACGAGATGGGGTGATTTTCTGTTCACGCTCAGTTTCTCGTTATAGTCTTAATAATAAGCATAAAAATGCTTCAATAGCACTTAGCTCTGTTCTGATATTTCATCAGGATCACGCAGTTAAAGTGAATAAAATACCTTATGAAGCTACCATTAAGTGAGTTAACACACATAGCACTGCATCCTGTGGATCAGGCACTAGCCTAGGACTTCAGAGATCTGAGTTTAATTCCCTGCTCTGCTCCAGACTCCCTGTATGGCCTTGGGCTAGTCATTTAGGCCCAGATTCCCAAAGGTTTTGAGGCTCCTAACTCCCATTACTTTCAAGGTTAGGTGCTCAAATACAGTTGAGGATCTGTGCCTAAGTTTCCCATCTGTAACGTAGGGATAAGAGCACTTCCCTGCCACACCAGGGAGTTGTGAGGATAGAAACATAAAAGATCGTGAGGTGCCAGATAATATGGTAACAAGGAACTGATAAATACTCCATGTTTAATGATAAGATGCTGGAAAGAAAGCCATCCATACATGCTGACCCTCACTAATAACCAGGATGCTCACTGCAAGTTAGTGAATCTTGTAAATTAGCAGGTATGCAAGCAATAAATGCATCACCTAAAGCATTTTGCTCATTTATTTGACATGTTGAATTTTAATCATGTGTGATAAAGCTCGAAAGTACACCAGCAAGTGTTCCGTAGTACACTTGTAAAAGTACTAGGCTGAAGGATAAGTACTGGGAGACCTCACTACAGCACTCACTATTAAAGCTTTGCAGAGAAGCGTGAGTACTGCCTTTTCTGTACAAGTTTTAGTGTGTGCTGGTTAGCAAGACTCTACTGTCTTTGTATTTCATTGCATCTGGCAGATGAAACCTTCATCTGGCTAAGACCTTTATGAAACTATGCACTTCATTGTTTTGTTCTTGACAGCGGAGGAAGGTTACGAGATCTTCTGAGGTTTAAAATTTGAATATTTCCTTCTGTGCCTTATTTCAGACTCTGCCAATTCTTCTACTCTTCTCTAGCATATAAGGGTGAGATACTCAGTTGCAAACTGGAACAATGGGCCCAGATGTGTCCTTGAGACATTTTCCAGAGACTTCAGTCAGAACAAGATTGTGTTCTAAAGATGTGAGTGGATTTACTTCATACGCTGGCGTAAATCGGGAGTGAAAAGAGTTGCACCAAATATAAAGTTGGAGTGAGTAAGATCAGGATCAGGCCCAATGAATTCACATTTATCTTTAAAAAATAAAGTATAAGAAATTCAATAAAATATCACAGGGCCAAGTCCAGCCCTCCAAGCCCCACATCCATTGCTCACTTTCACCTGACTCCCCGCTCGCTTACACCTGTGTAACTGTTGATGTTTATGGAATCACTCCTGATTTACATCACTATGGGAAGTGTATCCGGGCTGTTGATTTCAATGGGAGTTGTACCTGCATTGGACCATACTTTTTATCGGATTCCTGATTTTAAGGTAAATGCTGTTATTTTTATTTTATTTTATTTTTGGCAGTTTAAAGGAAAACTTGATGCATCATCAGGTGACTTAAAAGCAAATATAATGTCATTATTTCAGATAGAACCTTGGGAAACATTTTCAAAAGCATCTAAGTGATTTAGGAGCCTCAGTACAATTTTCAAAGTGATTTAGGCACATAGGGTTAGATTTTTAAAGGTATTTAGGCCTCAGAAGAGGTAGACAGGTGCCTACTGGGATTGTCAAAAGAACATAGGTGCTTAATACCTACTTAAATAATTGATTTCAATGACAGTTTGGTGCCTAATGTTCTTAGGTGCTTTTGAAAATCTCACTAGGCACCTATCAGCATCTTTAGCTGCATAAATGCCTTTGAAAATCTGGTCCTTAGGATCCCAAGTCTCATTGAAAGTCAATGGAAATTGGCTCCTAAGTCACTTAGGACCTTTTGAAAATGTTACCCCTACACTCGTAAAGTGTCTACTATTGTGCATATGATAGCACTCTTTAGAGCTGCAAAGCCTAGGTATCCTCAAGCAGCTATAATTAGGGTATCTCACCTATTTAAGCAGGATTATATAGAATTCTAAACAGGGAAGATAGTTTTGTAAAGTCCAGTTACTCGAGTGGATGAATGGTACACATTAGGAAGGTTCCTAGGATTCACAATAATTTGTAAAAACAACAAGGAGTCCTTGTGGCACCTTATAGACTAACACATTTATTTGGGCATAAGCTTTGGTGGGATACATTTGTTAGTCTCTAAGGTGCCACAAAGACTCCTCGTTGTTTTTACTGATACAGACTAACACAGCTACCGCTCTGAAACCTGTCACAATAATTTGTGTTTATCCTGCTGCATGCCTAAAAATACATCATCGATATCAACACCTAATTACTCTAATTGCAGAGTATTTTTAGTTTTACTTCTGCCTTTTTTTGCCCCACCAGAGAGAAACAAAGGAGAGAGACCCTGCAATTTTAGATTTCTAAAATTACAGGTTGAGACGACAGGAATAATTCCCACTATGGAGTGGAATCTCTCTGAGTGTCAAACAGCACCCTTTCAGATAGTCTCTGCACATTCTATGAATAAGTATAGCCACCAAGGTGGGGAGAGGAGGGGAGAGTCCCCCAAGACACAGTCTAACACAGAAAGTGATAATTTAATTCTTATTAGTGCATCCTTTAATACATGAAAAATATAACCCTATATTATTAAAACACCATAGTGCCACCGAGGAAACCCCCTATATATGTGCTTTCATTAATCAGAGCAGGGGAAGCTTCAGGGCTATATTGGCCTATGCATACCCCACCAACCTAAGAGTGTTGGGGAAGGTCTTACGCATCCCCATGCACTTCTCCTGATCAATGAACAGGGAGTTGGCTTTGACAGCCAGGTCATGCTCCAGATTAGATTTGGTGTGGACCAACATCTGCAAGGTGTCCTCTGCATCCCTCAGCCTCTGCTGAAGGCTCTGAATAGTGTCATCAATTTCATGGACTTCATTAACCAGGCTAGAAGACAACAACAAAAAAACAGAGTTAGTAGATTCTAGGATGGAAATAGTGCTATAACTTAGCTTTTGGTGCTGTTAAATACCATCTTGGTTACATTCTGAATGTATTGCATGCACATGTTTCTGACTTAAGGCTGATCCTGGATCCCATTGAAGACAATGGCAGAATTCCTTTTGCCTTCAGTGGGGGTCCTTTAACAAACAAACTGCTCTCAAACTCTAGTGACACATGGAAACAACTCACATGACAAACAGCGCCATTTAGAAAAGTGATGGAAAGCTGTGGTTTCCTGTTCTCATTTTCTTTTTCTGGGTTTTTCCTTGCTTACGCACACACCAGATGCAAATGTGTGTGCACGTACGCGCACACACACACACACACATAGTGTAAAGGGTGAAAAACAGCAGAATTTAAAAATTAAAGAAAATAATATGAATGATGGATGAATAAAGACATTCAGGATGCCAAGAGAACAGTCAGGCGAAATAATTTTAGATACAATGACTAAATAGAGTTTACAGTTGTCTTGCAGATCTTTACATTGACTCACTGCAAAGATGCACTATTGTTAGTTATCTCAGCACACCAGCTGTATTGTAATGTACTGGGTGGCGGGTTGGGATGGTCTAGCGTTTAGGGTGTTAGTCTGGGATTTGGGAGACATCACATTCTATTCCCTGCTCTGTCACAGGCTTACTATGTGATCTTGAGCAAGTTACTTAGTTTCTCTGGGACTCTTTTTTACATCTGTACAATAGAGATAACAGCATTTCTCTAACTCACATTGTCAGGCATTTGGGAGGCTCTTTGGTTAAGTCTAAGCAGCACTATTACATGAAGGACCAGACTGAGCATGGTCCTTGCACAGATGGACCGACTAAGGGTGTCTTTGTGCACAGAACTCAGGATGGACTCAGTTCTCCTGTGGTAACTGACCAGAGCAGACACTCACTGGAGTACAGTTATATGGAATACAATGCAGTGTGGGGAGCCCTCGCTGCAGGGGTGGTGCGGCCCTGCCCATATCAGATATCTGATAAAGCCACTGAATCAAGACTGGGGGTGAAATTCTGGACCTAGTGAAGTCAAATGGCAAAACTCCCACTGACTTCATCTGAGGTTGCTATTAGGAACTGGGCTGTGGAAGCCAAAAAGCTTTAGCTGGAATATCAGTGAAAAGAGACAGGCTAGGGAGGAAGTGATAGCCAAACCTCCTGCTGAAAGGACAGATCAGGCCCGAGCAGCGCCTTTGGAGACAGACTCCAAAAGGAGGAAGACCCTAGATGCCCTCCCCAGCTCTCCTCTGGGCACTAGACTCCTTTGTAAGAGGAGGTTTAGTTTTCAAAAAAAAACAGCCAAAACACTTCCACATGTAAAATACTATTGAAGGCCCTATCCTGTCAAGTACTGAATGTCTTCAGCTAGTGCTGAAGTCAATGGGAGTTAAGGATGTTCTGCATCTTAAAAATAGAAACATGGCCGCTCAAGAATCTTCTTTAGTGTCTCTCTTGTAAGGATGGAAACCATTAATGTTCTCCTTTGGAGGTGCAAAGGTTTGCATGAGGTTAGCACCATGCCACACAAACCCTAGGAAATTAGTTCACGTGCAATTGACTTTACTACTAACGTCAGGTTTCAGGTAAGAACATAAAAATTGAGCTGTATTAACTTCTCTTTGTCATTTTGCAAACCTGTGAATGCTCCAGTGCTCTAACAGCCCTGAACATCAGTGGAATGGCTGGTGGCTTGTAACAACCACTGCATGGAATCATGTTGCCTTAAACGAATCAGTAACCCTGAACTCCTGCCTTACCGTAACTGGGGGGAATCCCGACACAGCTCCATGTTTGGCCGCCGTGTGCGCTCGTCCAGGCGGGTATGGGCCACCTTTAATGGTGGCCCTTTGTCTCTGATAGCTTTTCGAATGGCTGCTATCGTCATCTCTGTTTGGAAGATTTCTTGTAGCGTCTAAGATTAAACAAAACCAGCATATACAAATGATTTTTGTGTTTTCTCTTTTCCCCTCAAAATTCTATCACATAGCAGGAGATCCTAAATTTAACAAGCAGCCAACATTATACCCAATACAACCTCTGTCTTTTACACCACAGCTGGCTGACAGGTTTACGTTTTGATCCATATTCACAAGCAAGGAGAAAGAGAGGGAAATGGCTTGCTGGGAGAATAATATTTACAAAGGTGGCATTGATATTGGGCTCTCTCCAATTCCCACTGACGTTACTGGCTCCCCTACTAATGGCCAGAATGGGAGCAAGATCAGATGCACACAAAACTACAGAACTCCTGCCAACAGGGTGAGGATCTTCTTTTTAAGGCTTATCTTTAGAGAAGGAAGCAGCTTCTAGTTCTGACTGTCCTCAGGGCTGGATTAAGGTTACGAGGGGCCTAAGGCTAATGGGAGGAAATGGCCTAAGTATGAATTACATATTGCAAAAAATTATGAAGTCATCAAACATTTCTTTACATACATATTTACATATTATTTATTTATGTAAAATTAACAAGTTTATTCTACTCTCACGACACCCAATTCTTCAAACAGATACTTCTGAGTAAGAGGTAGCATGGAGGGTGAGGGTGCTACACTGTCCTTCTCTTAGGTCTCCTTCCTCCTAGGTAGTGGAGTACTCATCTGCATGAGGATGAGCACTGCAACATGCCCATCCTGCCCACCTCTTCCAACCTTGTGCTTCTACCCTAAGCTCTCCACATGGCACAGTGCAAAGCCAAGCCCTACAGGTGTTTCCCCAAGCTATGGACTCTACACATATCCTATCTTACTCTGACTGCAGACTGGGAGGCAGCCAGCTTTTATTATGTAAAAGAAAACCATTCAGGTGTGAAATCCAGTGAAGTTGAGGAAACAGTAGTGGGAAAATTACATTTTAGGTTGTCTTGTTCTGAAAGCTGCCTCCCAGTGTTGCACTGGCTGAGGACAATGAATTACTGTTTTCACACTGAACCCAAATATTATTTGTGGGATGATACCCAGTTTGTATAGTTAATTGCCAGTGATTCACCACATCAGGCCATTCTGTCCCCAAGCTCTTCCACAATTGGAATCATAGAATAGAATCATAGGACTGGAAGGGACCTCGAGAGGTCATTTACTCCAGTCCCCTGCACTCATGGCAGGACTAAGTATTATCTATTCTAGAATGTGTGATCAGCAGCTCTGACAGGAGGTTTTTTAAACAAGAGTTCTGTGTGCACCAGTCCCCTACATCCGATGAAGAGAGCTGTAGCTCATGAAAGCTTATGCTCAAATAAATTTGTTAGTCTCTAAAGTGCCACCAGTACTCCTTTTCTTTTTGCGGATACAGACTAACACGGCCGCTACTCTGAAGCCCCCTACAGTTTGCATTTGTTTGTTTTAAGCTTTCTGTAAGTAAAAGGTAACACCTAGAAGGGATACAGATCTTTAGATGGTTGCCAGCCCAGTCAGAATACTTAGCACTTCTGTACTATGTTGGCTCTTCAAAATCATGGTACAAACATTAAACAAACATAATCTAAAGTTTGAATGACTAGGAGTTGACAAAACAGAGCTATTCCCTGTTGTGTTCTCTGCCCCCCTGATCAAAAAGACTTCACTGAAAATCAGCATCTTAAAAGAACCGTTAAGGATCTTTTTTCCTTAAAATGCTCAGAGTTTAGGGGAGGAAAGTGAGATTCTGCTTATAGCAGGTGTAAAAAAGCAGAAGGGACCAAAATCTATTCTTGTGAGAAAATCTGTTCTCCCTGAAGTCAATAAGACTCCACAGGTGTCACTGTCAGCAGGAATTGGCCTGTGTTCTCATTCCCGTCTCAAATCACATTCCATACCCAACACTTTCCACTTGGGAAGAAGTTAGTTTGAGTTGGGGCAGAAAAATGAAGACTAACTTCAGGTTTATTTAGCTTTAAGTTTTTGGAATGAAACTCAAAAGAAATCAGATGTGAGGTACTTTTATGATGGATTGAGCTGTTAGAGAATCAGCAAATGGACAGAACCTGCCTTTAGCCTATTCAGCCAGTCTTTCTATCATAGCCTGCTAAGAAGTGGATTTAAAATCCTTGAGGGAGAGGGAGGGAGAAACCCACAACATTGTGTGCTGAGCTCCCTCCAGTGCTTTTGCAACCCCTTAAAAGTACAAAGATGCGTTGGCCTGTGGAACTAGGCTGAGCGTGAGGGAAGAACTTGGTTGCCAGTACAGAAAAATACATCAAAGAAAAAAATTGGATTTCTTTGATTTTTAGTACAGTTCAATACAGTATTGAACACAGTGCATCATACATCTGAAGCCCCTTGATGGAAGGTACTGTAAAAGTTAAAGTGCTGATATCCAGAATGGGATGTTTTGTTTTGTTTTTCCTACAAATGTGTGGAAATTCATTCCTTATACATGGGAGGGACAATAATTCTGGCTGGACAATGCTAGCTCAAACTACACCCATGGCTGGCACGGGTTCCCGTGGTAACTGGATTTTTAGTGTCCAGTCACCAGTGTTAACCAGATACCTGGCAGTGTTCCTGCAGCATAGGGAGACACAGCAGGCTGCCGGCTGAGCTCCTTCCAAGCCACAGGGGGCTGCTTTGCCTTTCCTGCTGGCAGAGGAGTGCTCCATCAGGGCTACAAGAGCAAGCTCGCTCCTCCTCACCCGGCCTGGCCGCACCCCCTGCCTGACCAGTAGGGCCTAAAGAATAGGAGGGCCTACGGCTATATCCTTATTAGCCTAATGGTTAATCTGGCCCTCCTCCATAGTGGAGATGCCAGCGGAAACTAGGTTTTGGAATACAGCAGTAGGTCTACTGGACTCTGGGTGCCTAAGGCTACTTGTTTCTTGTCCACCAGCAGAAACCAAGAAGGACTATAAAAGGATTCTACTCATAGGCGTAGTTTGGCTTCTATATTTGGGGGGAGGAGGGGCAGAGATCCAGTCAAACTAATGGGGCCGCACGAGGGGGGCAAATTCTGTGCCTGCCTGAGGCTTGCAATTGCGGGGCCAATGCCCACCCTATCCCTACCCCAAACTATGCCCATGGTTCTACTGGAGCCTGCTGGACTTCCACTGGCCTGATTTCAAGAACCATTCCAGGGACAAGGATCGTTCAGATGGAGCATGGCAAAATTATACCTCCCATTGCTAGCTAATCTCCCTGTTTCCCAGTGAGCATTCAACACGAGCGAGAGCAGATGATGTCAGTGGGGGGCAGCCTTGGGTTCCCCTGGGAATGCCATAGGGGTTCTGCCATGAAAGGGTACAAAGGCAGCGCACTGAATCCATGCCAGAGGCCCTAGCCATGGTCACACCCCTGCCAGCACCATCACTTTTGGGGCTGTGCTTGTCCTTTGCGGGCTTCCTGGAAGAAGAGAGACTGTGGTGGCATGATGCTGCCTTAATCTCCCATTCAGGGAACTTTATGCCCCTCGGGGCTCCCAGCCAGGTCTTTGATGGCAGAAGTCAGCACAGACGAGTGGTCCCCAAATGTTTTCAGTGGTGCCCCCACCCCCCCCAAACACACCTGGTCCATGTTCACCTGGAGCCACGGTCGGGGGCTGGGAGCAGGGCGAGAGCCAGGGCCATGGCTGGGGCTTGGGTCGAGGCTAGAGGTAGGGCTGGGGCACTCCTTCCCCACACCCCATGGGGGCTGAACCGAGTCCTTCCACCCCATGAACGTTCTTCTGCAACCCCCTGGGGGGGCTGCACCTCAAAGGGGACCACTGGCATAGACCCTGAGCTGAATGGAGCCATGGGTATTTGGCCACTATTTAGAAAGTCATCCCTGCTGTAACTCCACTGAAGTCCATCACATCACAAGGATGAATTTAGCTCAGTAGACATAATGCTGCTGTCTCTTGGATCTTAAAATGAAGCATTACTAAGATCTCTTGGTGCTGTCATCTTGTCAATGAAAGTTTTATAAGGAGCCCTCTATACAATTAACATTTAAAATTAGCTTTTGCCATGAAAGTGGAATAGCCAGGCTGAAATACGGTCCCATCAACCATCAGAGTTTAGAGCCTGATCCAGCTTTGATTAAGTTCAGTGGAAGACTCCCATTGACTTTAGTAGCCATTGGATCAGGCCCTTCATGAACATGTTCCTGGAAATAACTTTCCCACATGATCTACCTGTATCAGACAAGATGTCCCTTTACCCTACTCTCAGTTTATTCTCCACTTGATTCAAAACACCAAAAACATCCTTGGTATTCGAAGAAATTTCTGCTGTGAATGTGAAGCACCAATATTAAAGGCAACCCTTTCAGGGGAAGAAGGGGTTCTATGAAATGTTACAAAGGCATCCAGTTGATGGACCTAAGTACAACAATTAGAAAGTTTATGAAGCTGTTGGATTGCTGGCTAACTGGGAGAAACAAACAGGTAATTTTATTAGCTAAAAAAATCACAGTGGCTTTTTCAGCTTCTCAAGAAATGACAAGTACTAACAAACAATTTAACAAATACACACGAAAATGCTACTTCAGACAAAATAGAATGTTCTTCAGTAGTTCTGGTCAAAAATTTCCAAATTTCAAGTTTTCAATGAAATATTTTGTCAAAATTTTGCATTTCAACCAAAAAAAAAAAAAAGGCAACAAATAAATACATTCAACATTTTTGTGAAATGTTTCCCCCCATTTTTTGACCAGCTCTATTGTGAAGTTAAAAAATCTAATCTGTGGCTCCAATTTATAAGCAACAACCTTGAGGAAAACCTAGAAAGTTCAGATTTAGGTTAGATATTAGGAAAACAGCACTGACTATATAGATAGTTAAGCACTGGAACAGGTTACTAGGGAGGTTGTGGAATCCCTATCATCAGTTTTTTTAAAGAACAGGTTAGACTAACACCTGTCAGGGATGGTGTAGGTTTACTTAATTCTCCCTCAACACAGAGGGGATGGTTTAGATGACTTCTTAAAGTCTCTTCCAGCCCTACTGTTCTACGATTACCTTAGCCAGATGTGTCTGGATCTTATTTTTGGCATCCGCTGTCTCAGAGATGCGATTAGTGAACGCGACGTTCCCTCTGTTGAACTGGTTCCACATCTCATTTGCAGTCACAACCAGCAAGTTTTCAATATCATCCCTCAGTTTGGAGGAGGCAGCTCGTTCACTCTGGGAGCGTAGAATATTATCATCTGTAAACTTGGCCCAGGACTCTGGCACAGAGATCCTTGGAAAAACAAAACCAGAGGCATGCAATAGCATAATGTAGCTGAGGCTGACTACAGGCAACTGCATATCCTATTAGGGAGGAAGTTGGATTAAAAAATTATCCTTGCTGGAATCTGTGATCCTGACTCTGACGCATAAAAATTAGACTATCCAGATACAGTATATTCAATAACGCTGATCATTCAGAAAAATATAAAGTCTGCCATATTCATGAAAACAGCTCTGACATGTTATGCAGGCTCCATGTACATAGTCTTAAATGGTGACTTTTGGATCATGTTAAAGATTTTAATAAAACCACATCTTTCTAAACAGTTTGAGTATGTTCAAGCTTCAGGGGACAAAATTATAATCAACTCACTCCAGCCGGTAAGATTTATAGCAACGTCACACTGAATAAATAGTACATGTAGTTCGTCCTAGTCATATCTATTTATTCAGAGTGAAATCCATCCCTGTACAAAGGGCCAGAACAAGGCTGATGCAACCCTTAATCCCAGGTAAGTCCCATTTCAGACATGCCAGCCTGCTGCACATCTCATCCACCTTCTGTGAATTTGATCAGCTTTGGGCTTCATTCATTTTCGTCGTTATTCTGTTGCACATCCAAATTCCTCTGGCCCCAGTAGGGAGGTAATTAATAAACATTTAAAGATTAAAAAAATCTATTCCAGCCCACGAAGTACATGTGTGCAAGTGAACATTAAATGTACTCCTTTAGCCCTCCACCAGCTATGGTACAACCACCCACGTACTGATTTATATCCTCATTCATTCACTGCAGGGCCAAGGTTGACTAATGAAGAGCAGAACTGTATCTCAAGATCAATGCTCTTCCTTTCACTTCGTTCCCATTTTGTTTATATTATGCCCATTACCAGGTCTTCTTTGAGCAGCAATCAAAACCAACAGTCGTTGTCTAAGTGAAGGTTGCAATTCAGATTTAGTGTGCTATAGATCAATGCTGACTTATATAGATATAAAATATATATAAAAATATTTGAAAAATAAATGTGAAGTTTAACAACTACATCACAGACCAATAGCTAATACATGCATGTTAAACCCAACAACGTCACTTTAAATTAAGGCTGAGATTTTTTCAAAGCCGCCCAAGGGATTTGGATGCAGAATCACATTAATTTTACTCAGTTGAGTTTCTAAATCACTTAGGCAGCTTTGGTATTCTCAGCCTGAGTGTCTCAAATTAGGCTTTAGATGAACTTTACTCTTCCTTTCTTCTTCTGTCTGCTGCCTCCGTTCTACCTCTCCCGTGCTCAAACTCGCAATCTCCCTCCTTTATCATACAGGAAGACTTATATCCTGCCCACACTGTAATCTTTTGGTTACAGTGCACTCAACAGAGTCACTATACACTTAACAGACTGTACAGTTTCCACTGATTGTTAAAACATGTGCTCTAAAATGACACATGGCTGTGGTCTGTGTGTATTGGGGGAGGGCACGTAGCAGCCCATAATAAAGGGAAAGCTGACCTCTCCTGAGAGAGCCATCTCAGTAGCTTCGGCCAAAGGTCTGGATCATGCAGGCAGAACTTTTTCTATCCAGTCCCGTGTTCCAAACAGCTTGAACATAATTCTCAAGATGTACTTACGTTGCATCAACCCGTTCCACTCCTCTGTAGTAACTGATGCCATCAGAAGTGTTCCTTAGATGGTGACACTTGTCATCGATACGGTGAGCTGTTTGCTTATCACTGAGGTCTTTCTCCAGCTCGTGCTGGGCTGCCCTGTCGGATCTGTAACATCAGAAAAACCATTATTGCAGAGTAAATAAAAATGAGCATAACAGGCCACATCTCCAGCTCTGGGCAGTCCCCTTCTGCACTACTCCAACTAGGCAAAGGGGACTTAAAGCTGCTCTAATGGGTCCGAGAGATGATGAGGGGGCAGAGCTGATGTAACAGACGCTAATGGACAAATCCATGGAGTAGCCCTGCAGGTACTTAACACCAGAGGCCAGTTCAATTCCCAGCTAGCCCAAGAACTGGGGAGAAACAGAAGAGCGGTTCAGAGGTACCTTTACTTATCCCATCATCCCACCTGACGTCAAGCACAAGATTGCTAGTATTTACTTAGCATAGGAATATAAATTCAAAAGAAATGGGAAGAGTTTACTATTTCTGAATGACCCGAACAGGAAGAACATGCCTGTGAGAAGGGGATATAATGACACCTTCCTTTTGTAGCACCTTTCATCTGCTCATCTCTAAGCACCATACAAACATGGATCAATTCAAGCCACAAGAGACCCCTGTGAGCGAGATAAGTGCTATCCCTATCTTCAGGTGAGGAAAATGAGGCATAAGATCACATAGCACCTCAGTGGTAGAGCAAGGAGTAAGAATCAAGTCTCTTGACTCCTAGTAAAGTTCTGTAATCGTTAGATGATGATACTTCCTGTAATAAATGTATGTATGTAATAAATGAAGGAATGATCTGGTAGCTTCAAAATATCCCTGGCCTGTTTCATGTATCCCTTTAGAAGGGCATTTCAGGCCAGATGGTCTAAAGATCACAGCTTCCATTTACGCACCAAAACAAATGGCCAGATTTCCAAGAGAGCTCAGCACTTTGGGTGAATGAGCTCTTTTGGAAACCTTGCCCTAGGTCCACAGCAAATATTTCTTACCCATGGTGGAGTATCTCTCTAAGTGAAGCTACTCTTATTAAAAAACAACACTGCATCATACCCTTTGGGTCTACACCAACTTGTTCAACAATTAGATCAAATTTAAACAAGAGCTGAGCAATTGTTAAGTGTGCGAGACATTTCTCCCCCATAACCTGTATTTTTTGAGGGGGGAGGGGATTTGCTGAGGTATTTACATTAGAAATTAGAATATAATGCTACTAAGAAAAGTTGAGGTGAAACTCTTCCTTACGCAAGCTGGGCTATCGCCTTATCCAGGTGGCGTTTCATCCTCTCCTGACACGACTTGATGACGTCAACTTCCTGGTCAATTGACAAAAATCAAAATTCCGTCAATGTCCTTGCTTATGAATTCAGGTAACCCTCATGCTCCTATGTGGCCTCTTTGAACTCGAGGTTTAGACATGCAGCAGTAACCCTGTGCTGTGTGCCTGCTACTCCTTACTTCCCAAGTGAGCATGCAGGAAGTGTGGAAGGAGTAAGCAAAGCCTTGGCTTCATCCCTCCCACACACTGTGCAGTGCAGCTGAGCCAGCACAATAGATGCGCAGTGATGAGGAAGAAATTTAGTCCTGTTCTTGGCTCTGCCCTGACTTGCGGCGTGAATTTAGGCAGTCACTGCTTGGGCCCAGTAAGAAATTCCTGCCCCGCTGGAGCAAGCTGGGTGCAGGGAGGAGCAATTGCATCCTTGGGCGGCTCCTGGTATGGGGCAGCTATGCACTGCCCCTGATCCAGGTAAGGTTGTTGTTCACAGTCAAGCCCGACATGAAATGTCTTTGTTCACACACAATGAAATACACGCTCTGCATGGATATAGCACCTTCCAGCTGAGGATCTTAAAGGACTTTGCAGATGTTCCTTATGCATGTGGATTGTGGCTAGTCTTTATATGATAGGTAAGGTGCGGGAAGGAATAAGGTGCCCCCCCACATACTGGGGGGCCTGCATAAGGGCTACTGCTAAGTTACCCCCAGTCAGGGGACAATTCACTGATAAGGGGGTAGAAAAGTGCAGAGAGGGGCAGGGAACAGATGGAACCATGGCTCCATCCCCCACTGTGTACAAGCCAATATATTGCACTCCTCATGGGGTATTGCAATTACCCCCACCAGCATAACTGAGGAGCTCTGACCAGTATCAGACTCCTGGTGGGCTTGTCTTCATTACAGTTGTGTTAAACATGACCATGAGGAGTCAGACTAGCTAATATGATGCTGAGCACAGCTTTGCGGTCAGTGTTGACAAGCTACACTCAGCATCCTGCCCGCTAGTCTGGAGTATACCCTAATGAAGGCAAGGCCTAGACAGAATATCACCCAATGCTTCCCCTTTTAATTTACATGAGTTTACTCAGGCCGACTGTTCATCTGATCACCCTCTACACACTGGGGTTTGAATTTCACATTAGTCCCATGGATTTCCAACCACTGTACCCTACTTGCTGTCTTTGGCAACTGATCTAATTTTCATCAATGTACTTGGGAGCAAGGCATTTATTATGTATCTCCCTACCACATGGCAGGGATGGCTAATTCTACGATGACAGAAGCACGCTCCCATGTTTCCAGCTGAACATGCCACAATGATACATGGCTATTCATAGTCTGAAATCAGAAAGGTATTTTCTTTGAAGTCACAAGCCACTTGGTCACTTGTTCCTCAGTGAATGTCAACTTATATAGGCAAATAATACACAGACATACTCAGGGCTGGCTCCAGCATTTTTGCTGCCCCAAGGGGCAAAAAAACCCAAAAAACTTGCCGCTGAACGGGGAGGCGGAATCCTGCCCGCCGAACACGAAAGCAGAGTGATGGTGCGGCCGCTGACCGAAGAAGAGTTGTGTCCCTGCCACCAAATTGCTGCCGAGTGCGAAACGCATTGTGACAGAGGGGCCACTGAATTCCCGCCGCCGCGGGCAGATTGCCTCCCCAAAGCCTGACGTCTTGCCGCCCCTTTACATTTGCTGCCCCAAGCACCTGCTTGGTTCGCTGGTGCCTGGAGTCGCCCCTGGACATACTGTATCTGGGGAATGCCTTCATCATAAGGAAACAACACATTCCTAACAGAGAGAATCACACTGAAAATGTAACCACTGAATAGCTGTGTCCCCTTATAGTGCACTGGAATTGGGAAGTAGCTCTTTAAATAGTTTGTGACACTTTTAGTGGTGCTCTCTGTGTCTCAGAAGCCACCAGCACCCTGCCAGAGCAGCAGTGTATGTGTACTGCTGGGCTTTGTATGTTGATGGATGTTTATTAAACATAATTATGTGCACCCCACTGGGTTCCTTTATATTATATTTGTGGTGTAAAAATCAAACGACAACAATTGCAATGAAGGTGGAATCCTAATCCAAAAGTTCAGTGAAATAGGGAGCGATTGCAGAGGCCTCATGAAACTGAAACTGCAGCCTCAGGTACTGCGAGTGAACTGCTCATTGAGAGAATTTTTTCTCACATGAGTCAGGTCCCCAAAAGTCATGAGCTTGTATTAAAAGAAATCGAGATTCAGTTCTTTTTATTATTATCTTCTGGGTTCTGAGGCTTGAGATGCACAGTTCGCTCATGTTTTCCAGCTTTCCTCCATTACCATGAGGGCTCAGAACTTGTTCTGAAAAACGATGAAATTTTAGATTCAAACCTAATCACCTGCCTCTAGGTGCTGGGTCTTTCAGAAACATAGCAAATATTGTGAGCCTCCTGCAAAATCACAAGAGTTGGCAACAAAGGCCCCTCTTCTCCTTTCACCGAGTTAAAGGCAATTGCATAAGTTAGAAAGAATTTCCATTATTTGTATTGCAGTAGCACCTAGGAGCCCTAGTACAGGACCCCCTTGTGCTAGGTGCTGTACAAACACTGAACAACAAGATGGTTCCTGCCCCAAGGGGTTTACAATCTAAGTATAAGCCAAGAGAGACAGACATCTCTCTCTAATATCTTAGGACTGACATGGCTACAACTACACTACATTGGACCTCCTACAGTATGTCATGGTGCAGCTACCTCAAGTGTCTCTCCAGAAGCCAATTACCCACTTTTCCTGTGGCAGACAGACCGACCTTCTCTTCATGCTGGGTCCTGGCCTCCTGTGAGCTTCTTTATTTAATGGACAGTGGGGAACAAATGCGCAAGCTTTCTAAAGAAGTTCCACTTGCAGGTAGAGACCAGCCCTGGAAGATTTCAACCCCAAAGATGAAAGTCTTTGAGTACTAGAGCAAGTGGGTTGCAACAGGAACTAATCTGCAACCTTGACTACAGCAGTTCTTAGTGGAGTACCTTCTACCCTCCTTATCAGACTGATAGTTAGAGTTTCATCTTTATGATGTATTTAGTCTCTGTTCTGTTATCTGAAGGAAAATGTCTTGTATAACTGACTTGGTATGTTAAATGTAATATTATGAGTGGGTGAGGGCCAACATAAAGAAGCCTTGTCATCCAGCCTCATCAGATATCTGAATTAAAATGGTTGGTTAAATGTTTTGGTGACTCAGTGTTAGCGCTGAAGGTGCTCACAAATTGTACAACAGGATGGATGGACGGATAGAGGGGTGTGTAAGAAGAGAGATAGGATAGAGCAAGCCTGATCTAAAGCCTACTGCAGTTGCAGCCAATGTGAGTTGATTGATTTTAGTTAGTATGTTTTATGCTTTGCTTAACAGGTAGTTAGTGCTGCTGGATCAGCCCCTCCCGCGATAAAACCTTCAGGAAAGGAGCTGTCCTATGGTCATTTGTGCTGGAATGCGCCTTGATGCCTGCCCCGAAACCGGGAAGATCCCCAGCGCTCTGTGGGAGGTCAGACTATCCACATAGAGGCTCCATTCCTCTAAGCTGGCACTGCACTGCCAGTTGCCCCTTGCCTTGCTAGTACAGCCACATTACCAGAGATTCTCTCTGGAAGTGGCTGGCCCCACACGGCCCCTTAAAGGAGGATCATCATCAAGGAATGGGCCTCAGGCTGAATCCTCTTTCCTTACATCCAGAGGTGAAAGTAAGCTGGCACCGTACGGTATGGCATACCGGCAAGAGCCAGTACACAGTTGGCCATACCTGCAGGGGGCAGCTTCCCCAGGCCGGTGATTTAAAAGAGCTCTGGCCCCTGAAATTGCCGCCAGAGCCCCGCTGCCGGAGCCCTGGGGTAGCGGCGGCAGCAGGGAACCCCAGGGCTCCAGCATTGATATAAAGGCCCCGGATATTTAAAGGCCCTGCCTCTTCTGGGTGAGGCACCACCCCTTCTGGTTGAGGCCCGCCCCACTCAGGACCCCGGCCCTGTGTACCGGTAAGTCCCTTAAGTTACTTTCACCCCTTCTTACATCAGCTCTGCACAGAGCTGATGTGTTTCCCAGCCCAGCCCCTGACTGGATCTCCTCCGTGGAGTTGGAGGAAAGGGTAGATGGTGCTGCAGAGGCAGCTGAACCCCACCATTCCATATGGGAAGGCTGATGACTGCATGGAGCGGGTCCCCTCCATGAGTGGATCTTGGGGACAAGATCTGGACCTAGTAAGTATAAGGAGAAATTATGAGGACATAGGTCATGTGTTAAAGTACAACACTGGGTACTGTTGGTCAGCACGGAGCTGTCTTTGCAGTTAAATGCCCCATTCCCTAGTTAGGCTGTTACAAAAACTTACTGTCAACAGCTGTTTTTCCACATCATCATGGACTAGGTCGATTCCCATCCTCTTCTCTCGATGAAGTAAGCACTCTTGGGCTACCTGTTTGGTAAATAAATATAGCTGTCAACTATAAGATGACCAATAAAGTTACACCAGAGAGCTCTGGAAAAGTTCCAATTGCTTAACGTTCATGCTGTTCAAAACTAGATGTTTATCACACTGCAATATTCAGTAGTGGCAGTAAATCTTTGCACTTAGAATGGGAATTTTTCCTTTGGAACATATCTTCTCTGGGGTGTCATGAGAAAATGTCATATGTGGAGAAGGGTCATCTTTTAAGACATGCAAGCCATGCCAATACAAAAGTACCTATTTGCCATATGCTGGTGTGTTACTGATAATAAATAGCCAAGCTAAAATATCCAAGTGATCAAAACATAAAGGAGCACATACATCCCTTTTCAGAGTAGCAGCCGTGTTAGTCTGTATTCGCAAAAAGAAAAGGAGGACTTGTGGCACCTTAGAGACTAACCAATTTATTTGAGCATAAGCTTTCGTGAGCTACAGCTCACTTCATCGGATGCATTCAGTGGAAAATACAGTGTAGCACCAGTTGAACTCAGAGATGAATTTAGCCTGATCTGAGCCTTGCAATAAAACATGGTAAATTGTGACCTTAATTAGGATTTTTGATGTAGCGCATGAGAAAATATTTAGTTAAGTAAATACTGTTCCTAAGTGCTCAACAGGCATTGGACAGGAAATGTATCAGATGTCAAGGGCTTTGTTTATCTCCAGCTTGGCTAAGGGCCTCTTAATAAAAGACATTCATCCATAACGGAGCTCAAATGAAACTTAATTAGACATTTGAATGGCTGCAGATGGGGAACTGATAGGCTATAATACATCACAGCATTTATCAATGAAACTGATACTTACCTGGAGGGGACCTTCTGTTTCAGCCAAGGCCCTTTCCAATCGTTTCTTCATGTCTGTAAGAGCATTGGTCTCCCCAATCATCTCATCTATCTCGTGATTGAGCTCTGATTTCCAAAATGCTATATCATTGACCCGTTCTCCCAGATTTTTGGTAGTGTCTGTTTGGGTTTTCCTTGTTTGCTGATTTTTGTCCTGGATCATGCGGGATGTGTCCACTCTTAGCCTCTCTGCGCTGTGCCGGGATGTCTCTGACTCTTTGTAATTGGTCAGGTTGGATCTGTACCAGTCATCAGGGGTATACCTAGTGAAAAGCGCTGTTCTATTGGAAACAAAGGGAAGCATCTTGCTTTGGGTTAGCCCTTGGGAGCTTTTGGAGAAGGGAGCCAAAGTAGGAGTGATGGCTGCTACTTTATAATAAGTGCTGGGTCGCCATGGAAGGCTCAAGCTATGGGTCAAAGAGTAGTGAGGGAAACGGTTCTTATAGCTCGATGCCATGGTGCTGATAGCTGGTAGGAAGTTAGTTGGTGTTGGTCTTGGGTGGGCATAAGTTGCCGTTAAAGTAGAGCCTACAAGCTCCATGATGGAAAACTGCTATTCGCTTTTACTTCCTGCATAAAACAAACACAAAAAGACAACAGAGAATCATCTCATTTAGCAAAGTCCCACTTAGATGTAACAACACCTCTTCCATAAACACATGCAACTCATAATAAAAACACTAACGTGTACAATAGTTGAGTATCAAAAAGACAGGCCTAAAACTCTCGAAAGCAAAGCCCTATCTCACAGTGCTCCATATATTTGGATACAGGAGGATTGAAATTTCCTAGGCCTGGTCTACAGCAAAAAGTTAGCTTGAACCAGCTACGCCACTCAGGGGTGTGAAAAATCCACCCCCCTGAGTGATGTAGTTAAGCCAACTTAACCCCCAGTGTAGATAGTGCTAGGTCAGGAGAAGAATTCTTCCATCAGCCTAGCTATCACCTCTTCAGGAAGTGGATTACCTACACTGATAAGAAAACTGCTTCCACTGGCCTGGGTAGTGTTTACACTGAAGCGCTACAGCAACACAGCATCTGAAGTGTAGACAAGTACTTAGTTATTGCTCAGTGTCACCTATTGAATTGAAGCAAAGGCCATATTGTGCCATGACTTTTTAAGCAGAACACCATACTGAGGAGAATAGAAAGTTCGGCTTAAAAATGATGGCATTACACACTCCCAAATCTTTACTACTGTCCATAATGCAGAGCTAACGGAAGTGCAGAAGCAAGAGCTGTATTTCATTCTACCTCATTTATCATCAATAGGTCCTGATTCTGCAAACCCTTACATATTATTATTGCCCTGGTATCTAGGAGCCGCAGTCATGGGACCAGGACCCGTTGTGCTGGGAGTTGTACAAAACACAGAACAAAAGGACAGTCCCATCCCCAAAGAACTTACAATTTAATTATAAGAGAGGAGACAACTGGAGGATACAGATACAGATTGGGGAGCCAAGGAAACAATGTGTTTTATTTTACTTATCTGAGTAACCCCATTAAAATCAATAGGGCTACTCAGATACTTTAAATTAAGCATGCACCTAAGTGTTTGCAGGATTGGGGCCACAGGGACAAACCCACACATTTGGTTTTCAGTAGAAGCAGTCTTTTCCTCATATCTGCCCAGGGTGTACAGGGCAGAAACTGCACGTAACTCCTAGTTCCAACATCTGCAATAATGAGCAACAATATACCAAGCGGAAAGAACATAAGCTCCACTTTCAGAACCTAAATGCAGTGTTGCTAAGGTGGAGCAAGGCAAGCAAACATCTTTTTTTGACTTGCAAGGAGAGAAAATTTGATGTCAAAGTCACCAACGTAGAATAAATATTCCTGAAAAGAGAAAAAAGAATAATTACCTGAAGGTCAGCCTTTTCACTCTTAACCATTGTTACACTTCAAAAGTCATTTGAATAAACTTTCCCTCACTGTCACCCTGGAGTGAATGACCCCACAAGAGGATTTTCCGGGAGCGGGGGGGGGGGGGGGAGGGGGAATTTTGTTTCAAGTAACTGCATACTGTACTGTGTTTGCTATTGTTCTTTTCACTTTGAGGTCATTAGCTAATTGTGTGTCAGTAATACAATACTCATGGCACTCAAAAGGTAAATATTTACTTGTATACAATACCCATAATCCATTCACAAACACACTGAGGGGTATGTTGTGCTGATGGGGAATTCCCTTATGGTTACAAGAGTTGATTGCTGGTTTAAATAAAAGGGATTTTTGGCTGCCCTAGAAAGATAGTAGCAGCTCCTGTAGTTGGAGCAACGGTCTGCAGGCAGATGATGGACAATACCGTCGACAAAGCTACAGTATTCGTAGAAATTCAAGATAGAAAATGTGTTCTCCAAAATTTGTTCCTTACAGTTAAATAAAAACCCTTCACATATTAAACCTGTTCCAATATTCATATTGTACAAACATCAATACGTTTATTTTTTGATGTATTTGTATTGGGTAACTCCTAGGAACCCTGTAACGGCCCCTTGTGGGAGGTGCTGTGCAAACACGGAACAGACAGACAGTCACTGTCCTAAGGGATTGATAATCTAAGGGTACGTCTTCACTACAGCTGCTACAGAGGCACAGCTACAGTGCTGCAGCTACGCCACTGCAGTGCCCGCGGCATAGACACTTCCTACAGCAACAGAAGGCGGCAGCTAGGTTGATGGAAGAATCCTTCTTTTGACCTAGCTGTGTCTACACGGGGGTAGGTCAACCTAACCATGCTGCTCAACATGCACCATTTTTCACAGGCCTGAACAACATGGCTAAGTCAATCTCATTTGTAGGAGTATGCCAGGCCTAAAGAGTAAAGGTCCTGATTCAGGAAAGGGTCCCTGCTCAGGAATGGTGCTTAGCCTGAAGCATGCACTGAAGTCCTATTGAAGTCAATGGGACTTAAGCACTTACTTCATGTTAAGCATGTGCTTAAGTGCTTTCCTGAACAGGGATAGATATAAGCACCTGCTGAGGTGTTTTTCTGAGTCAGGACCAAAGAGGAAAAGAGATGTGATGTAGCTGTATTTTCATTCTAATGATCCTGCACTGATACAATGCCTATTATCCACATGGATCCTAAGCCACTGTACAAAGTGAATAGACCTATGTGCAAGCCACACACACACACACACACACACACAAAGATCTACCCACCAATGAAGTGGAGCCATCTCTAGGGAGTGAAGATTAGTAGCTATTTAACAATGCACCACAGTGGAGGGTTTGTCCACATGGGGAAATGACTTTATTCCTTAAAAAGTGGAGTCATACCAGAATAATGTCACTTCTATTTCAGAATAGAGTGTCCAGACAGGGAGTTATACTGGCATAGCTATAGCAGTATAATTGTTCCACTACACCTACGCTGGCCAATTTCCCCATGAGAGAGACTGGTTTATATTTAAAGTTCTAAACCTCTGTGGAGGGAGGGTTTCTTGAGTTTTAGTCACCTCAGCAACAACGGAAGAAAACCTGTTCCTTCCCAGGAGCAAAACCAATAAATCCTGATGATTTATAACTGACATTCCTAGAAGGGACTAGAAAGGAGACACACAACATGCTTGAAGCAGCAGACTAAGAAAAATATAATGTCTTAATATATTTAGCAAATGACAATGCACATCAGAAAAAAAAATATAGAGGAGTGCAGGGGTCAAAATAGGGGCCACTGAGTGCCACAAAATAGATAGCTTACAGACCTGATTCCGATCCAACATACACTATTGTACATCAGGAGTACCACCATTGAATTCACTGGACCAGACCCTCTGCTAGCCCTTTGATTTCAATGGAGCTATGATGATTTTAAACCAGCTGAGGATCTGGCCAAGTGGAATTATGCAGATGTAAAAAGTGTGAGATCAGAATCAGGCAACATGGAAGGAAAGACACATGAAAGTCTAGGCTGCTGCTATACTAACCAATAATAAACATCTATAACTCATCTTTGGGGTGCTCAAACAAATGTTGCTTTAGCAGAGCAAAGTATTATTATTACTAATGAATGATTCCTAATATAAATGATATAGAACATAATACTGCAAATGATCATGCCAACCAACGAAAACTAGTGAGGTCATGGAAGGAGAAAAGGACATTCTCAGAGGCCAGGAAACTATTAAACTTCAGAGTTGGGAACAGAACATTTGGGCTGGAAGAGGAAGGCAAGAAGCCACATGCAGGTCTGGAAACTGCTATAGATCCAGGAAATGCTGTACATGTTTTCAAATGTCTGGAAAGAACGACTAGGTGACCTACTAAGTCTTTTCCATCTCTAGCTTCTATGAGAGTGCTTTGACGTGCTCAGTGAACAGTGCTTGAGAAGTGTGAAGTGTTATTAATAGCAATAATAAATAGCAGGTAACTTAGCAAATGCTAATACAAACCACAGAAAAAGAGAGAGATGAGTAAGAGGAGGTACATGAGATTAATAAATTCACAGATGCAGGGAATGTACTCAACTTAAGTGCCCACCCCTCTCGGCTGCCTTGGTGTGTGGATGCTCAACCTAAGACCTCTAGCACCTGATCTCCGGAGATGCTGCTGAGTTGAGATCAACAGAAGCTGTGGGTGCTCAGTATCTCTGAAGATTCAGGACCAAAGTGTCTCAACCTGGAAACCCCAAATTAGCAAAAACTTTTCAAAATGTGGCCCTTTGAGCTGGCTGTTTTGGCAGGGCTAGGATTAAATTCCATGGCCAAATCCCACTAATCAATTATTGCCATTGTGTTGTCCCCCTAATATGGATTCTCCCTGTCCCCACTGCACATATTTAGATCTTGGAAACAAATAGTTTTGGAGTCTGGAGGACAATTTCTATGGCTTTCCTCTCCTAATAAATGCTTGTCCTTCCCCTGCTGACACACACATTTAGAAAGAGGGGAAAGAGATGGTTTGGGGAATGAACAGAGCTATGTTGCCTTGGCTCCCCTACTAAAAGTAAATTCCTTCCCACATCCCTGTATAACCCACTCCCTAAAACTACTAACCCATCTACCCCCCCCCCACACACACACACAAAGGTAAATGGCTGCACCCTGTCAGCCCTCCAAACACGTACATGGGGTGCAGAGTACTTTCTTGGGTTGGGGGGATAAGTTTCCCTGGATTCCACTCCCACCACTAGCTTGTCTATAGGACTATAACAGTATCTCCTTGTCCCCCACTTCACACACACAGATTTCGTTCTGGGGAAGGGAGATTTTGGGGGAGTGGCCAATCTAAATTCCCCTGATTCCCTCCCTACTACATTATTGCCTCCCCTTCCCTATCCCCCTTGAAGCTCATGCAGGCTGGGCAGTGACACGGGAGGGGGGGGGGGGTTGGGTTCCTGCCCCCTGTGCTGCCCTGGTGCTTGGTGGATCCCTTTCTGTTTGTAGGTCCCCAGCAGCCCCTGCCAGGTGCTCCCTCCTCACTGTCTTCCCAAGCCCCCTTGCAGCCACTGGCTAGGGGGGGCTCCTGGATGGCAGTGGGAGGTGCAGACACTCACCTGGCTGCTGCTGAAGAGGGAGGGAGCCTTCTGCATCCACAGGCTGCTTGCAGCTCACTCAGTGCTCAGAGCATCTCCCTCCCTCCCTCCCCCAGCTTCTATGCCCACCCCCTTCTTTGTGACACACACCAACCCAGCCCCACCCATTGGCCAAGAGGGGATGGAAGGGGAGGGAGCGAGGAGGGGGGAGCGTTGCTAAGGACTCACAAGATGCTTAGTAACCGAATTCTCTTCAGGAGGCCTGGCTGGCCTGGGGATCTCCTTGAACTTGGGGCTGGGGAGCTAGTGGGAGCACCAGGGAGCATCCCTGTACAGCCCTGGCAAGACACCTCGTCCTTCCTTGTTATCAGTGTAGCTAGCATTTGAACAAAACAGTCACAGTTCTTAAAAGCACTCATTAAAAATCCCGCTGAAACCACTTACAAGCAAAACACAGCCACAGCATAACCTTGGGGCAGGTCCTTGCTAACTTCTATTTTCCCATCTTACCTCTGACTTCTGCTCACACCAGCAAGCTCAATTTCCCATACTTCACTACACTTAAGCTAACTTCAGGTCAAAGCCTAATTTAATTTCTATTTAACATAGTCTATAGCAGGGGCGGGCAAACTTTTTGGACTAAGGGCCACATCAGGTTTTGGAAATTATATGGAGGGCTGGTTAGGGAAGGGGGTCATGGCCCGTGTCCCACCTCCTATCCGTCCCCCCCCTCCAGGACTCCTGCCCCATCCAACCCCCCCATTCCTTGATGGCCCCCCTGGGACCCCTGCCCCAGCCAACCACGCTTGCTCCCTGACCCCCACCCCTAACTGCCCCCCTCCGCCCATCCAACCCCTCCTCTCATTCCTGACTGCCCCGCCCCTGGGACCCCTGCCCCAGCCAACCACCCCTTCTCCCTGACTGCCCCTGGACTCCTCACCCCTAACTGACACCTGCCCCTAACTTCCCACCCCCCCATCCAACCCCTTCTCTCCTTCCTGACTGCCCCTCCGGGGCCCCTGCCCCATCCACCCCCCCTGCTCCCTGACCACCCCCCACTGCCCCATCCCACCCCCCTCTCATTCCTGACTGCCCCCCACCCAGGGCCCCTGCCCCATCCAACCCCCTGCTCCTTGACCACCCCCCACCACCCCATCCCACCCTTCCTCTCATTCCTG